ATTAGGCAGGTCAAAAAAAGAATTTGAAGAGCAACTAGCCAAAGACTCAAAAACTAACAGCAAATTTTTTTAAGTACATCAGAAGCAGGAAGCTTGCCAAACAGTCAGTGGGGCCACTGGACAACCGAGGTGCTAAAGGAGCACTCAAGGAAGGCAAGGTCATTGCAGAGAAGATAAATGAATTCTTTGCATTGGTCTTCACTACAGAAGACATGAGGGAGATTCCTACACCTGAGCCATTGTTTTTTGGAAACAAATCTGAGGAATTGTCCCAGACTGAGGTGTCAATAGAGCCACAATTCAAGAAGGATGCTGATAGATTGGAGAGGGATCAGAGCAGAGCCATGAGACTGTTTAAAGTATTAGAAAACATGCCTTATAATCATAGACTCAAAGAGTTCAATGTACCTGGCTTGGCAAAAAGAAGGTTAAGGGGTGACTTGATCACTATCTATAATACTGACATGGGGTATTTAAATATTTAATCATGGGCTCTCCAATCTAACAGAGGAAGGTATAACACGATCCAATGGTTGGAAGTGGAAGCTAGACAAATTCAGACTGGAAATAGGGTGTACATTTTTGACAGTGAGGATAATTAACCATTGGTGGAGTCTCCATCACTGACCGTTTTAAAATCAAGATTGGATTCTTTGCTAAAAGATATGCTCTCAGAATTATTTTGTGGATGTTCTATGGCTGTGTTATACAGGAAGTCATGCTAGATGATCACAATGGTCCCTTCTGGCCTTGGAATGTATGACTCCCTCAAAAGTACAGATCATCATAATATCCTATCCATGATGTAGTTAGGGTGACAGATAATATTCCCTGCATATTATGGAGTTTCCAGATTTTATTATAGTATTGGATAAACATTTAGGCTTGCATAATTCATTCTCCAAGTAATAGGTCTTCCATTATTATCCATCTGCCTTTGATTCCATTAGAATGATAGGTATTGTTGGTGAGAAGAGTTCCTTCAATGGAGAAATGCAACCTTCATACTATGTCTTTTTATGGAAGTATTAAAATCTTTTTTCCTTTGTGGGATGGGTGAATCAAATTGCTTCAGTGGCTTTTAGAAAGTACTTCTATTCTACTCTTGGTTCTAGGCACATAATATACATAAAAATAAAAAAAGAGTCCTACAAAAAGTGGAAACTAGGTCATATTACCATTGAATATAAACAACTAACACAAGTATGTAGGCACAAAATTAGAAAGGCCAAGGCACAAAATGAGATCAAACTAGCTAGAGACAAAAAGGGTAACAAGAAAACATTCTACAAATACATTAGAAGCAAGAGGAAGACCAAGGACAGGGTAGGCCCATTACTCAAAGAGGAGGGAAAAATAACAGAAAATGTGGAATTGGCAGAGGAGCTTAATGACTTCTTTGTTTTGGTTTTCACCAAGAAGGTTGGTGGTGATTGGATGTCTAACATAGTGAATACCAGTGAAAATGAGGTAGGATCAGAAGAGGTTAAAATAGGGAGAGAACAAGTTAAAAATTACTTAGACAAGTTAGATGTCTTTAAGTCACAAGGGCCTGATGAAATGCATCCCAGAATACTCAAGGTGCTGACTGAGGAGCTATCTGAGCCATTAGTGATGGTCTTTGAAAAGTCATGGAAGACTGGAGAGATTCCAGAAGACTGGAAAAGGGCAAATATAGTGCCCATCTATAAAAAGGGAAATAAAGACAACCTGGGGAATTACAGCCCAGTCAGCTTAACTTCTGTACCCGGAAAGATAATGGAGAAAAAAATTAAGCAATCAATTTGCAAATATCTAGAAAACGATAATGTGATAACTCAGCATGGATTTGTCAAAAACAAATCATGTCAAACCAACCTGACAGCTTTCTTTGACAGGGTAACAAGCCTTGTGGATGGGGGGGAAGCGGTAGACGTAGCATATCTTGACTTTAGTAAAGCTTTTGATACTGTCTCGCATGACCTTTTCATACACAAACTACGGAAATACAACCTAGATGGACCTACTATAAGGTGGGTGCAAAACTAGTTGGAAAACTGTTCCCAGAGAGTAGTTATCAGTGGTTCATAGTCATGTTGGAAGGACATAACAAGTGAGGTCCCACAGGGGGATCAGTTCTGGGCCCAGGTCCGTTCAATATCTTCATCAATGGTTTAGATAATGGCATAGAGACTACACTTATAAAGTTTGCAGATGATACCAAGCTGGGAGGGGTTGCAAATGCTTTGGAGGATAGGATTAAAATTCAAAATGATCTGGACAAACTGGAGAAATGGTCTGAAGTAAATAGGATGAAATTCAATAAGGACAAATGCGAAGCACTCCACTTAGGAAGGAACAATCAGTTGCACACATACAAAATGGGAAATGACTGCCTAAGAAGAAGTACTACGGAAAGGGATGTGGGGGTCATAGTGGATCACAAGCTAAATATGAGTCAACAGTGTAATGATGTTGCAAAAAAAGCGAACATCATTCTGGGATGTATTAGCAGGAGTGTTGTAAGCAAGACACAAGAAGTAATTCTTCCGCTCTTCTCTGCACTGATTAGGCCTCAACTGGAGTACTGTGTCCAGTTCTGGGTGCTGCATTTCAGGAAGGATGTGGACAAATTGGAGAGAATCCAGAGAAGAGCGACAAAAATGATTAGAAGTCTAGAAAACATGACCTATGAGCGAAGATTGAAAAAACTGGGTTTGTTTAGTTTAGAAAAGAAAAGACTGAGAGGGGAACATGATAACAGTTCTCAAGTACATAAAAGGTTGTTACAAGGAGGAGCAAGGAAAACTGTTCCTTTTAACCTCTGAGGATAGGACAAGCAGCAATGGGCTTAAATTGCAGCAAGGGAGGTTTGGGTTGGACATTAGGAAAAACTTCCTAACTGTCAGGGTGGTTAAGCACTGGAATAAATTGCCTAGGGAGGTTGTGGATGATTTTTAAGAGCAGGTTAGACAAACACCTGTCAGGGATGGTCTACATAATACTTAGTCCTGCCATGAGTGCAGGGGACTGGACTAGATGACCTCTTGAGGTCCCTTCCAGACCTATGATTCTACAAATTGCCTGTTCTTCAAGAGGTTAATATATCTCAGTACACGTGTCTGATGGCACAGTACACAGTAATGGTCATTTCAATGATATTTTCACTTGTGTTTCATGTTTGGATGTCTGTTTAATTAACTGATTTTGTGAAGTGAGACAGGGTTGTTGTTTTTATTATTACATAATTATTATTTTATTGGTCAAACCAGCAAGAAAAAAATCACTTAAATAAAAAAAGAGAACTCTGGACCACATATATAACTCACTATAAGGTTCCTATTTCAGTGTGTTCTCTTCTTTTTGATGTTAAGATATTTGTGCCTTGGAAATAAAGAAACAAACATCAGTAACTACTGAAAGATAAAGTGAGAATAAAGGAGACATTCCTTTGCTTTGATGGTTTGTATACAAAATTAATCAGAATTTTGTATTTTATTTCTAGGAAGAACCATGTTACCTAGTATGATGACGTTGATGTAGACTATTTCTAGGTACATCCGTTGTTTGTGTGTGTGTGTGTATAAATACAAACGGAAGGCACTTTAACTAGACATAGTGGCTTTCACCTCAAGAGTCTTCTGTGGATTAGACAGTTAACTGTAACTGCTACTAGAAAAGAAAACTAGCTCTGAATATGAGGTAGTGCTTTAACCATTGGTTAGAATTCAGTGCGTACCTCAAAACTCATACAAGGAAATCTCTTTCCATTTAGCACATTTCAAAGAATTATTTTGAATCTACATGGATATTATAAGTAGAGTGCCTAGCTCCTTTGTTTCTGAGTCACTGAATGAAACTTTACTTGCATCTTGAAACAGCATCTACAACAAGAGATGTGGCAATAGTGCCGAATTCAAAACCCATGGAATCCAGTGGGACTACTCCCACTGATTTCCATAGTAAATGGGAATTGAGAGTGCTCATCCCTTTAGCAAGGGAGTCAGCATCTCCATACTGAAGTTAAGTGTGTTAGCACTGAGATAAAATAATCACATTGACAGAGATGCGCTCTACAATGATAACAATCATTTATTTCTGTTTTTAAAGAAATCAAGCCAAATGTTTCACCACCAAAAGTTTATCTAAAATCAAAACATTAAAACAGGGATAAAAGCTTACAAGAAAACAAACACCTTAATTCTCTTACATTATTCTAAACAAATAAGGGTTATAAGAAAGAATAGAATTCTAGACTATTAGACTGAAAAGAAGTACTCAGTAGGTAGTAGCTCGATACAGTACTTTGGAATACACATACTGGTCCAGATCCTCAACTGGAATAAATCAACATGGCTCCATTGAAATCAATCACAAATTTACACCAGCTAAGGATCTGGCCCATAATTTTAAAAGACATAGCACCAGGTCCTGGGCCCTATTCCAGTTGCTTAGTCTGCTCTGACAGCACAAAGCAGCCATAAAACTGACTCACATCCAGTCCCCTGACTATTCCCATCAAGTGGTGTAGTGATTCCTACACTACCCTTTTCCAGTCTCTGGGAGAAAGGGGGCATGGCAGGGACATCCCTATGGCTGGAACACCGTTGGAGCCATAAGTAGCTCTTAGACCAGGGACCAGACCATGACCAGCTCCAGGATCAAGGGAGTGTAAAGGTGGTTTAAAGCCACCTTTGTGACCCACCCACTCTGGTCTTGCACTGAGTCCCTCCTAGCCAGACTGGAGGATCTAGGGCATAGCATTTATATTTTGGCTTTGTAATGGACCCTTGACTCCCCAATACTAACAGAAACCCCAGATTCTGGTTAATAAAGAAAATTCTTCCCACTTCTTGAGGTGCTGTGTTTTATTTAGGTTCTTAAAAGAGCAAACAAAACCAAAGAAAAAACGTAAGGCCACATAAACTTCTTCTGTCCTGGTTCCCACTACTACTTTGAGAGTCTCTAACAGTAGCAAATTATGCACAAAGAAACAGAGTCTCAGGGCAAAACGGACTTACCCCACACAGCTCTGTCTGGGCTAGAGGCCATGCTATGAGCTCCAGGGCTGATACCAGGCAATACCCCAGCAATGACAGCAGGTTATACAGTTCCTAGCAGGGGATGAAAAATATGGGGAAAAGTAGGGAAATTCACAGCATTTGTCACAAACCTCTCACCTGCTCAGTTTTCATACAAACAGGGCACTTTGCAACAAACTATAGAGCTGGTCAAAAAAATAGAGACAGAAGGGAGGGGGAAGAGGCATTAAAAAAAAATTGTTGAAATTTCCAGATTTTCAAAAAGTTTCTAACCACCTGCAATACATCCTAACTGTCTGGAACTTCTTTTTAAACAAATCCAGTTGTTTAACCCAAGGATCTCAAATTCAAATCACCACGAGGGCCACATGAGGACTAGTACATTTGGCCTGAGGGCCGCATCACTGAAACCTTTGCATACAACGATACAAAAATATAGTCAAAAATGAGAAAAATGAAGAGTAATATAGTATGCTATTAAAAGTCAATGTATTAACTTTTTAAAAACTGTAATGTGAAGGGGGGGTTTAATAAAATATAAACACTCAGTAATGCACCTACCTCAAATGACAAAACTCGCATTTACTTTTAGAATTACTTCAGTTAAAGCCCCCCCCTGCTCCCAGCCCCGCCCCCACTGCACACCTTCCATTAGGCCCCACCCCTACCCTGCCTCTTTCCACCCCTTCCCCCTCCCCATGCCAATCCCTTCCCCAAAGTCCCCACCCCAACTCTGCCCCTTCTCTGCCCCTATTCCAACCCCTTCCCCAAATCCCCACTCCGGCCCCGCCTCTTCTCCGCCTCCTCCCCTGAGCGTGCCCTGTCCCCGCTCCTTCCGCCTCCCTCCTGGAAAGTCCTAAGCGCTGGGAGTTAGGCGGAGGAGCGGGGACGGCGCGCTCGGGGAGGTGGGTGGGGCGGTGAGGGGAGCTTAGCTGCCAGTGGAGTTGGTGCCTATGGCGGGCCGCAGGCCACGTGTTTGAGATCCCTGGTTTAACCCTTTCATAGTAGAAGCAGGGGTAGCAAGGTTTCTGTTCCTAGGGCCAACACAAAGTGAATTCTAATGTGAAGAAATATTTCAACAAGAACTCTAAGATCACTGTGGGTGAAATTATAACAAATTTGGATGGAATATAAACATCAGATTTTGGCCTGTAAAAATGTTATTTTTAAAAAGGAATAATCTAGAAAATCTTGTGTCAAATTTAAAGACTCTCATTGACTACCTTTGGACCAGCACTTTATTGTGAAAGTGAAAAATGCATACTGTGTGCACATTTTTGTTAGAAAACTGAATGGATGGATGTCCTTTTTGTCAAAGCAAAGGATTACAGCTTGGTATTCTAAATAAAAGGAAATAAGCTGGTGAAAATATTATCCAGGAGATATGTTTTAGCTATTATTTTAATTAAGATATATAGTTATGAAATAATCCTGTGTTTAGAGCTAATGACTAGGAACTTTTTAACAGGAAAGAGATACAAATGTTAATTTAAATACACTAGCTATTTGATGAAAAAGGGCCAGAATTTCAAACTTAGGTATGGTATCAGGAGTCTCATTTGCACGTGCAATTAAAGGGAATGTGTGTACAAACTGGCTAACTGTGCATTTAAATGTGCCTAATTATGTATTTGATTCTGCATTTACCTGATCTGTACTCAAAAACATGATAACAGTGCTCCCAAGTGCATGCCTAACTAATGCAAATGTGCTCACAACTGCATGCCTAACTAATCTGAAAATTTTAGGGAAAATGTTTCTGAGCTCTAAATTAAAAGTCTAATTTAGACACAAGTAACCATTGACAAGTCAACAATTAAGATATTCATCTAGGTAAATTATATACCTGAAGTGGGTTAATATTCAGAAGGAACCTGAAATTTGATTAGTGAAAGGTAAATTTTCAGCCACAATCATTTATAAATCCCCTTTTTGTCACCACTTGGAGCTCTATTCACTCTATTCCACTAGCTTCTTGTTAATGGAAACTCTCTGTGCTCTTGATGGTAGAAAGTCTGCCTATAAGGGATTCACAGTCAGGCTGAGGTTACTGAGGAGGTCTGGAGAAAGTCAGCACAGCAACCAAAGCAATTATTTCTGGCTGGGTAGGGGGAATTTAATTGTCAAGCCAGCCTGGGGGAGGGCAAATTCAGCACATCCCTGAGAAGCCTTTGCCAATGGTGCTCTTATGGAGCAATAGCTGAAAGTTAAATCTGTTTTACTACAACAACACCCCAAAGGGGGCCTGATGTTACAGACCTGGCAGCCCTCTTTGCAGCAGTGGCTCCCTGGGATGGAGCTGCCTCACTACTTCAGAAGGGTGCAAATTTCAACTCTCTCATCCCTGGGCCAGAAGAGGTGAATCAAGCCCTTTAAACTACTATAACCCTATAAATCACAGAACAGGACTATAAACACAGTAAAGCCGCTGTAAAGCCGAAAATAAATCCAGCAGATTCTATTTAAACCTAATGGACACAACGCTGCAACACAAAGGGGAGCATAACATGAATGATAACTGTTGGAGATGTGGCAGTCAAACAGCAGACCTTACACTTACATTAAGGAAGTAAAACTTCCTGAAATATCCTTTTTCTTACAAATAATACAATCCAATATGTTATTTTCACATAAAGTGAATAACAGAAACAAACTACAAAGATATAACATGTAAATATGTACAAATATACACACATAGTACAAATTGTAGGAAGTAAATTGGTTGTTTCAGTCCAGTCCTTAGAGTATGAGTGTCAGCAGCCCAAAAACCATCATCACAATTGGCACAAGATAGTACCCATGCTCACAGTTTGAGCAGAGAAGCCCAAGATTTAATGGATGAGGAGACTGAACTATCCCCTCCCCTCCAGAGGCGGGACCTCTAGAAGTGGGTTGAAGCCTACTGGCAGGGGCCTTGTGCTACACCTGTTCTGTGGAGACACTGACAACCTCTCTCCCCGTGCTCTCAATATGGCACTTTTCACAAAACCCAAGTCACAAAACACACAAGATTGTTCAAATAACTAATAGAAAACTCAGTTGTAAATAAGAGAAGATTCTCTACGTTGATATGAAGAATTTGAAAATTTAGCAGAATACAACATGTAACTTTAAAGTTTATATGTATTACGTTTTGGTATTGTTTTCATTAAATCAGATACCTCAAGAAATTAACTGTGGCTAACTTACTCTATTAGCCTGGTAAGAGTCAGTCTAAACCTCTTAAGAATCCAGTCCAAAGTGTTTACACTTTTATGCCCTACCTATGAAGATACTTTTTTTTTTTTTTTTACAGTGGCCTTTTGTATGTAAGGCTTCTTACTCAAAATCTATAAAACACCTTCTCTGAGTTTAAGGTATACTAGTTTAAGAGACAGTACAAACAAGAATGTTCAAGGTAATAAGTGCTTTCATGTTACTAGTTCTCATGTCGGAGGGTACTGGATCAGGCTAAAGGACAGAGAGATAAGAACAATATTGCTAGTTACTAACGAATGGCAGATAAAAGAACTCTTCTGGGTTCTGATTAAGTGACAGCATTCTACACATTCCTCTGAGTTGAGAAAGTTTGCCTGAGAACAGCAGCTATGTTACATGTGAAGTACCACTAAACAAGCATATCTCTATGTTTTCAAATTCCAGAATGAGAACAGGTTCAAGCCCCTCCCCGCCGCACTTCATTTGAACAGGAACACTCTCTGGTCATGCAAAAATAACTTGCTGTGTTTCAGTCTCCATTAAAAAGTATAAATGTATATGCTGCAAGCACAGAGAAGTTTTGTAGGACTCCATGGCTGTGAGCCAATGTTTACAATCCCCTGGGTGGGAAATGCAGGGTGAAAGGCTCTTGATGGCAGGCTTTAGAAGTCTTTGCTGTTGCCGCCAATGACCTTCTGCCTCCGTTTTCAAAGTAGCTCCCTTGTTAACCCCTTGGCTACTGTGTGTGTAGGAGCCTGCAAAGGAAATACCTTTCCTTTGAATCCAAACTCTCTGTCCATGGGTCAAACTCTGATTTCAGTAGCAGCTCAGGAACGGTGGGCTAATTTGTGCTCCAAATCTAATATCAGAGTCATGGCAATGTGAGGTATTTTCAGCAGTCACTGAGGCTGAATTTAGTTGTGCTCTGTGAGCTAAAAAGTGAAAGTTTCCAGTTTCAGGCAATGGACTTGTCTTACAGGCTCACGGGTTGTGAAACATGAGCGCAGTGAGTCTCCAGGAGAGGAGGAAGCTTCCAATTTAGGCAGAAATGCTTTTTCTCTGACTAGCCAATGAGTAGTGATGGTGTTGGTAGCAGCAATCCCTTCTCCTGGGGTCTCCTCGCTAGAGGAATGACATGCTGAACTACCATCAGCGCATCAAAGAGTTACTAAAAGGGAACACTCGGTATAGAATTGAGATCCAAACCTTCAGAGATCTTTGCCTCTCTCTGGCCTGAGACCAGAACAGAAACATAGTTCAGGATGTCACCTTCTGCACTCTGTAATCTCTGCGTATCCCCTTTGCACCTACTCTCCAGAGAAAGTCTCTTTTTTAAAAAGTGTCTTTTAATATATTCCTTATCTGAAACAGGAAAATAAATCAGATTGAAATTCATACCTAAGACCTTGTCTAAATGGTCTAATGGACTTCAGCATGAAAGCCAAGAGACTTCTGAATTCTAGTGCCAGTTCTACCACTGATTTACTGTCTGGCCTTTAGCAAATCATTTAAACTCTCTCTTTTCCTCCCCATCTCTAAGACAGTGATAATAAAAGGTGGAGGATTGTCTGTGTTGCCTTCCCCCAAAGGTACGTGCCCAGAAGTAAATCCTCCATGCAAAGATCTCCTTGTTTGCTCCTGTGTCAACCAAAGGGATGGACGTCTCAGGTCCATTCATAGCATTAGGATCCATGCAAGGAATGAAAAGTCCCCACCAGTGTGGACTGTGAATAGAAATCCTTTGTAAGGGGCATCCTCACAGCAGCTGCAGCCAGGCAGGCCTTGGTAGCATGGTTCCACTGGAGCTGCAATAGCGAGGAACAGGTGCAAGGGGAGAGAGATTGAGTACCTGTGGATATAGCCCTTGGATTTGC